CCCCCCCCTTTTGATTTAATTGTATAACTAACCAGGGTTACTAAACTGGTCCTCCTTATCCTCAGTATATCTAAACAGGAAAGCAATACTATCAACAAATATAGCCTTTACATTACCCTAGAAGTAAACGCATTTTATAATTACCAATAAATGTAAGATTGTAACATGTTACATATAATTAGATTTGGATTTGGAATTTCCTTTCGGTAATCAGCGTAAAAATTTAAAAAAATAGGAACCAAAACAGAGGAGTGTCAAATAAAAGTCACATTTTTGCTTTTAAAGCAAAAAACAGCACCAAGGAAATATAAAAATGTTTACTTCTCAAGTGTTAAAAGAATTAAGCAGTTAAATAACTTCCATGATTTAATGATTTAAGTTGTAATGATAACGATGATTACTGGATTACTGGAAATTTTTTCGCTTTGGAGAACACTTTTGTGACATTTTCAGCGAGTCAATATATCTTTGTTGTTTCTACTGATAGTGCATTAAGTTGATAATAATAATAAATGCGTGTTCCTTGTTCTTAATGAAGATTGGAAGAAGATAAATACTTGAAATAAGTTCCTGCTGACTTCGGCATTTTCTAAAATACTTATTTTAAAAAAAAGAAAAAGATTTAAATAATTTAAACAGATGTAAAGTTTTATCAAAGTAAATGTTCAAAACAAAGCTAGGAGGAAAGAGAAACAAAGATTGTCGTGGATATTTCAAGTGACCATTCGTAAAAAAAGTACAACGGACCTCTTGAAACCTTTATCCAACCAAAAATGTGGAAGATAACATGGTTTATCTAGTTTGAAAAATGTTCAATTCTGATCATTCCTAGATGTTTCACTGTTTTCCTGCAGCAGAACTGAGCAAGTAACTCTGTAGAGAAACCAGTTCACAAAATTGAAAACAAAGCTTTTAAAGGAACCGTTCTGAATTGAATAGGACACTTTATTTTTGAATGGTCAAATAAAATTGGGTCAACAGTATTTTTATCTTTTAGGCTACGCTATGGGTTTCGACTAGGTCAATACGGGAAAAATGAAAAATGCATAATTTCTAATTGGGAAATAATAACATTATTTTTTCTGGGTAAATAGTATCAAGGGGGGAACAAGCTGTTTTTCACCACCGTCCAGTGNGGGGGGGGGGAGTTTACCTGATCCATATTCTATCTAGTAAACTATCTGAACTGCTAGTGCTAGTGTCAGAACTAAAACCAAAGTGATAACAGTCATCAACACGTCCAATACAATGTAATTTGCAAGTTTTTTTTATCTTATTGATTGATTGAAAAACAGAATATAATGTTTCAGGAACGGCAACCGTTATTTAAGCACTTTTCGCATAACCTTATTGAAATCTACCGAAGAGGTATATTTTTCATTAAAAATCCTTAACCCAACCCTCCCGGTCCAATTGTCAATCCTCAGAAATATTTATTTCTCAATTATAAAACTTTTTAAGAAAAAACCCAATTTTGAAGAAAAATATTGAAAATTGTTATGTCACTGTGTTAACACCTAAAGTTATCAATAATCTGTTTCAGTCTTGGAGTGGAAAGTTTCCCTTCTGTCTCTAGTATAACGGTGTTACAGTCACCAGCTGCCAATCTGACCGCTAGATCCAGGATAAAACACGTTTTACCTTAAAATTATATCTTGTATATATTGTTAGGATCAGAGATAAACCTAATATGGTAGGGATCCTTGATTAGAAGACTAGATTACAACAACTGGACTTCAACAAATCCTTTCTTATATTTTCAACCTAAGATTTTGTTTATTTTTCCAATTTCAGCGATAAAACTCAAAAAAAAGATGAAAACATTACTCTTAAAGAGCAGGGTGAAAGGGGAAAACATAATTTTTATGAGAGCAAGGTGAAGGGGAATTTGAGAAAACATAATTTTGAAGAGAAGGGTGGAGGGGAAAACATTATTTTGAAGAGCAGGGTGGAGGGGAAAACATTATTTTGAAGAGCAGACTGGAGGGGAAAACATTATTTTGAAGAGCAAGGTGGAGGGGAAAACATTATTTTGAAGAGAAGGGTGGAGGGGAAAACATTATTTTGAAGAGAAGGGTGGAGGGGAAAACATTATTTTGAAGAGAAGGGTGGTGGGGAAAACATCATTTTGTAGAGCAAGGTGGAGGGGAAAACATTATTTTGAAGAGCAGACTGGAGGGGAAAACATTATTTTGAAGAGCAGGGTGGAGGGGAATTTGGGAAAACATCATTTTGAAGAGAGGGGTGGAGGGGATTTTGGGAAAACATCATTTTGAAGAGAAGGGTGGAGGGGAAAACATCATTTTGAAGAGCAAGGTGGAGGGGAAAACATCATTTTGAAGAGCAAGGTGGAGGGGAAAACATTATTTTGAAGAGCAGGGTGGAGGGGAAAACATTATTTTGAAGAGAAGGGTGGAGGGGAAAACATCATTTTGAAGAGCAAGGTGGAGGGGAAAACATTATTTTGAAGAGCAGACTGGAGGGGAAAACATTATTTTGAAGAGCAGGGTGGAGGGGAAAACATAATTTTGAAGAGCAAGGTGGAGGGGAAAACATTATTTTGAAGAGCAGACTGGAGGGGAAAACATTATTTTGAAGAGCAGGGTGGAGAGGAAAACATCATTTTGAAGAGCAGAGTGGAGGGAAAACATTATTTTGAAGAGCAGACTGGAGGGGAAAACATTATTTTGAAGAGCAGGGTGGAGGGGAAAATCATTAGTTTGAAGAGCAAGCTGAAGGGTAAAATCATTATTTTGAAGAGTTGGGTGCAGGGGAAACACAATTCTTAAAGAGTAGCGTGGAAGTAAGAATATTATTTTTGAACTTGAACCCCTGCATTAGCTGTCACACTATATTGGTACTAACCTACTCCTGCCTCCCCGTAGAGTTCTGTTATTTTCCCATACTCAAGCCCACCTTTCAAAGGAGTGTTGGTCAATTTTTAAAAATGGGTTTAGGAAGAACAATTAATAATAAACTTGTTTTTTTTTGTTCGAGATAATTAGTTTTTTTTTTCATGGAAGACATTTGCTTTGAACCCAACGGTACCATTCGTAATTAATCTTTAACAGTCGTGAAAGACTGTTGTTACCGTCTGAACTAGCTGGGCCGGCCATAGGGCAACGATAACAATAAATGAATATTAGGAAAATTTAAGCAGAAAATGTCGGATCGTAATAAAATATTAACTTCTTCAATATCCCCATTTTAAAAACCCAACACTCCCTTTCAGTAGTTGGTCTAGTCCAGTACACCCTAAATATTACAGGTGTAAATATACTTTTCAGAAAATACACTTGGAAAGTTGGAACTCAATGAGTAAAAAAATATTCTTAAAACAAAAAACAAAAAAAACAATATTTGTTTTTAGAAAAGATATGTATTGCGGTTCAAAAGTCAATTTTCTTGTTCAACTCATGAAGACTAATATATCATTATCTATACAATAACAAATATTACAAATATCCCGGAACCGAATTTTATGAATTAGAGAAGTCGCTGAAATACCTACCGCCGGTTCAAATCTTGAATCACATATTCAAATCCTAATGAATCTGTAACTATGAATCGGTGATTTAAATCTTAACTAGCAGAAGGTAATTCAGCCACCTAGCTCAAATTCATTAGTCTGATAAAAATGAATTATGTAATCGACCTGTACTGAGTCTACCCAGTTGAATATTAGAGTTTAATAGGTTTAAAACTGTTGTTAATCCTTCCATCCCTATCCTGCTCTACTCATCATTACTAAACAATTAAAGGCAAATAAAATCATATTTTACAGGAATTGCTAAGGGCATCCGACGTATGGATTAGACTTTTAATTTCTCTCCACATTCGTGAAATAATAGAAATAATTTGATTTCAATTAGAAGTACAGTAAATTCTGTAGTATTATTTATTTAGGGAGATTTTCCTCCTGACTAAAAAGACGCCAAGAGAACTTCAAAAACCCAAGATTATAATGGATTTGCAAAATTACAAGCTAAATAAGATATTACAATCGTCTGATGCTTTACCTTTCTTTTTGCAATACAGTTTATAATTTCATAATCTCAGCATAGTTTTCATATTTTTATCTGAAATTGATTTAACAATTTTTAAACTGAGCAGAGTAAACGCTGAAGTTTTCAGATCATATTTCCATCATACATATTATACATATTCAATTCATATATTATCTTTATATATATACATGTCTTTAAAAACATGCATAACAAGGACTAGGCCAGGGTAAGAAATAAGCTCTAAAATAATGTTAAAATCTGATCACAGATCCTGATTTTCATCACCATCACCAGGTTAAAAATTTAACAACAAACAATAACATCTACTGGAAAACTATAAAACTCAAAAATTATCAATAAAAATATTATGTCACTTAAGTTACATTTCAAAAACTTTTTAAAATCCTGAAACTGTACTCTATGTTTAGGAAAAATCATTTTGGACGTAAAAAGCTCTGGGAGGCGTAACAAATAAAATTTCAACAAGAATCAAAAGAACAACGTATAAAACATGTAAGATATAAGCAAATATTGCATGAACGTGGTTGTTATACGAATGATAGCTAAATATATTGACTACTGCATAACCTACTGACATGATGTAGTATAATTATATATCTACGTGATAACGGTTGGTTCCTGTCTCCCAGTTAACTCTCTCAACTGAGATATGATTAGACCAACCTCCACACATGGAGCCAACATCTCCTAAAATTAAAAAAGGAAAGAAAGGAAAGTTAAAATAATTACTTTACTCAGAGGCAGTGCTTAGGATCCGGATCCGGAAGATTTGGGCTTCCTGGATCCGGATCCGCAAAAATATACGGATCAAATGGGTAAAATATCAACCATAAACTACAAAAAAAACTATTTTTTTTTACCCCTGAAACCCAAATCTGAACTTCTGAAAAAAGGGAGATTATAAAAATTTCCTCATTTCTGAATGGTTCATTAAGTTTTATGATAAAAATAAGCGAAAAAAAAACAAAAAATTTGAAAATTATTTTTGTTATAACAATTCAGTAAATCTTGAAATGACCTGGATCCGGATCCATTTTTTCCCAGTGCGGATCCGGGATCCGGATCCGCATCCGCATCAAAATTTAATGGATCCTGCACTGCCCAGAGGGTTCAGGCTAAAAATGGTTGAGGGAAAGTTCCAGAAAATATAAAGGTGCCGTATTTACTATACACTGTATACAGGGTTTAAACTCATTAAGAAATGTAAAACCTCTTTTATAGAAAATGTAAAATATGTATTTATCTACCTGAGCAGAACCGAATAGTTTGTCAGGAGAATTCTCATAGCTGTCAACATACATCCTGACAGTTGCTCCACTACTTCCTGTTCCTGATAATCTGAACACTAGTCTACTCCCATCAGAGAACATAATCCTGATCCCTTGTTTACTAGCAGTACTACCATCTACTGGGTCAATATAACTAAATACAAGAATATCACTCGTATCCATTTAATCTGATGACTGGGGGCACCCCCCCCCCCCTTTTGATTATAGGGAATAAATAAATAAAAATCAATTTTTCTTGGTCAATTCAGATTGAAAAAAAGAAGCAAGTTCCCGGTTTTTTAAAGAAAGGGGTGGTGTCTAGGGTGTTAGTTTCTAATATTTTACCGAATTTTACCTGAAGTTGTCAGCTGCTGAAACTGTATAAGATTTACCAAGGGCAGTGTAAACCTTTCCTATACTAGCAGGGTCGGATATATAAGCTTCAAGGTTCTGAAATGAATAATAGATATGGACAAACAGGTTTGATGATAAGATCAATGTTCTAACTTCCTTAAAAACGGTGTTCAAGTGCAAGCTAGTGATAAGGAATATGCAGAACGGAATAAATGTAAATTGTACCTTCATCATCTGTTCACAAGGTTTGGATTCACACCCCTCGTAATCGTATCTTGTGAAGAAGTTTCTCCCAAACTCGGTCCAGTGTTCCTTCAGGAGTTCTTCAACTGTAGTATTCTAGAAAATAATATTAAGGAAACGTTCAGAGCATAAATCTGATTCTACTTGGTATTGTGATGATTGATAATATTTACCTTAGAGGCTAGAATCTGGAGCCAAGCTAAAGCTGCCCAGATACCATCCTTCTCCCTAGACATATAATGCATGATATAACAATCAGTCAATCAGACAATCAGTCAATCAATTAATTAGTCAAAATCCCAATTTCACCAACCAATTAAATATGATTTTCGTAAAAAAAAAATGAAAAAAGCCTGAATTATGCTTCCATCCTTCCCAACAGTTTATAAAAAAGTTTTACCTGACATGGTCACTACCAGTACCAAAGCTCTCCTCACCACAGATGGATATTCTACCAGCATCCAGCAGGTTACCAAAATATTTCCAGCCAGTCGGAGTATCAAAACATTCTAGACCTTGATAACAGATATCATAACATTTGAACATGCAGATAATTGACTTAGAGACGAGATGACTACAATGAATGAATAAAACAGGTCAAGCAAAAATTCCTGGCGCTAATCAAATCACATCATATTTTAAAGGGATCGCTTGAGGCATCCTTTGTATGCCCTTAAAGGTTGGATTTTCAATGGCAATCTTAGGGTAAACTTTTATGAGAAATTCATTTTCAGAACTTTTTCAGTGCTTTTAAGAATCATTTTATTCATTCTAGAGCTAATTGTTTAATGTTATGTTTATTGTTTATAACATAATTTTAACATGATTTTAACATAAAAAACTTATTCTTAAATGCATTTGGCATTGGGCAAGCTTTTCCATGTTTTAACAATATCTATAAAATTATTTGAATAATTACCTTTCTTTTTAGCAACTCTATCAACTGCAGCACTAGTCGGCATAGATCTAGCAAATCCTTTTACTCCACTCTAAAAACAAAAAATAAAACATAACGTATTGTTGTAAATGTATTCAGTATCCATGCTGCATTTACATGGGTATAATTGAAATAATTTTTAATCTGGAGGGAACAAAAAAGAAAGTTTGCCGAAAAATCTCTTTAAAGAATCATAAACATTCCTTATACTGCAGAGAGAATTTATTTTAGAGGGGAAGGGGGAAGATTTTCAAAAATATAAACCCCTGTGTTTACCTTCTTAAAATATGGGATATGTTCCAGGTTGTTTGCTAGTACAGCCAGGCTGTCGCAGGGAGTTACAAAGAAAGCGTTCTGTCCAAGGATCATGTTTCTATCTCCGTCACCGTCGAAGGCAGCTCCAAACCCGTGAACTCCACTCCTTGTTATCAAGTAATTTTATCACAGGTTCGGAAAATACGATATCACACATTAAAATTTTTAGATTATAAATAATATATTAAAAAAGGTTTTGATTGTTTCATTATTTTTAATTTTACTTTCACTCAGTTGAGTTTTTTCATTTTATATTTTCTATGATGAATAGAAATGAGTTGTCACCTCATGGCCTCCACGAGGTCAGCTGCGTAGGTCAGGTTGGGATCAGGATGACCTCCTCCGAAGTCAGGAAGAACATTAGTTTTAATACAGGATGATGGCGGACATCCTAAAATTATTTATATTTTTATTTTTATGGATGAAATTAGGTTAGACCAAATAATGGCATAAAAACTCGTGATTGATTCAGCCATTTTATACCTAACTCTTGTAGGAATATCTTCTCAGCGTAAGGACCAGTTGCACCATGAAGAGAATTTATCAAAACCTTAAATATAAATATAGATTAAAACTAAACAAACAGGCGTGTAATATTCATTTTATTCTATGGTTTATGATATGGAATAAGATTGATTGAAACCTTCCCAGCAACACTCAAAAACAGAGATTAGGATCCATTTAATTTCGATGCGGATCCGAATCCGGATCATGGATCCGCACTGGAAAAAATTGGATCCGGATCCAGATCATGAACATTTCTTTAAGATTCACTGAATTTTTTTAACAAAGCAGAATTGTAAAATCATTTTTCTTCTTTTTCTTCTTTTTTCGCTTATTTTATGCTAAAACTTGAACATTCAGAGATAAGGCACACTGTGGATATAGCAAATTCCTCGTAGCAAGATGTTGTGAGATAGAGGACGACTTTTAATTAATTCAATGTCGGAGATGCTATATCAATTGGACTACTGACAATCTGAACTAATGTTATATTCCTTTTTTACGACACCATATCGGGAATAAAAAAGCATTTAACATGCTTTTAATTTTTTCAGGTTATTCAAATTAGGTTATTATTGATCATTAATTCAATCCTCATACACAGAAAAGTCTAACATTATCAAATTTAATCAAACAAACAGTTATTGCCTTTATGCAAATGATGATACTTATTTTGAACAGATAAGTCTTTAAAAAAATCTAAATAATATTTGGCTTTCCAAAAATACATGGTTTGTCTTGCTGAAAATTCCTTCAAATTTGCACTTAAACATTTTTTTCCTAAATGATAATAAGCCAAGTTAAAACTTAAATACTATAGGCTAATACACAAATTCAGTAAGTGAACAGCTGACTTTAGTAAAATTGAGAGTTAGTCCATTCGACCATTAGTCCAATTGATATAGCACCAGATAATTGCATCTCATGTTTCAGTAAATTTAATGATACTTGAACAAAGTCAAGATTTAACATCGGTGTAATAAAGTACATTTGTACTTGTAAATATAGACACTTTGCGTTCAAATGTACATTTTGTAAACATATTTGCTTCGAAAAATATTTTTCTGCGTAATATAACAAAAATCTAAATGACTCTTAAGAAGTTAATCTTAAATGTCGTCTTTTATCTTACATCATGCTTCAACAGTAGGAATTCAACTATATACGACAGAAACACAATGTGAAGGAACTTTCTGTAAACTTTTATTTTAACATTTCAGATTTGGGATTTGGTAGTAAAATTTGCTCTCTCTTGTTTTTGCCTTATATTTAGCCCCTTGGATCCGGATATCCGCATATTTTTGCAGATCCGGATCCAGAGAGCCAAAATCTTTCGGATACACCGGATCCGGATCATAAGCACTGCTCAAAATATCAATTAAACAAACTACTTTCGATTATAGCCACCCCCCTCCCACCTCCCCCTACACTAAAAAACTGATTTTACCTTGAGTTTCCCCTCTCCACCAACTAGAGCTTTGATCTGATCAAAATCAAAGATAGATTTCATGAGTTCAATGTAGTCTGCACAGGGATCAATCACCTAGAAGCCGGGGAGAATAATTCCAAACAATAACAAATAGAAACACTGTAAAAACAACATGAATAAGGCGCAAGCGGAAGCGAAAGGTTGCTTTGCATCATTGACATCTTGCAGAATCTTCGTACAAATTTACCGTTAACACTAATCGGTGTACACTAATTAGTTGACCTATAAATAAGAAATGCAATCAAGTTTTCTATATCTCTGGTCGGATTTTTTGTATAATATTATCTCCTGCCTGAACTGTAAAGGGTTTTCCGTCTACCATGTACTCGTAAACACCAATGCTGTGGAAGTCGCACTGAAAACAATATTAAACTTGAAAATTATTCCGTTTCCTTGTAAAAGTGATAGTTTTTTTTTGACCTTTTTAAGACAATTATTCCTAAAAATAACATAAAATTTTTATTCACCTGTAGATCAGGACAGATGTTGTAAGATTGAATAGATTTAGTATTCTCAAACATTGTATTTGTTGCAGCATCAGGAGCAGGTCCACCGTTTGACATGTTAAACTTTATTCCAAAATCAGCATCTGGACCACCTTATTACAAATATTCTGTAAAGATTAACCTGGATTATAACTAGCTGCAAAGATATCTACCTTGATTTTGACTAGCAGTAAAGATTAACCTGGATTATGACTAGCAGTAAGGATATCTACCTGGATTATGACTAGAAGTAAGGATATCTACCTTGATTTTGCCTAGGAAATATACCTGGATTATGACTGGCAGTAAGAATAAATCCTCCATCAGCTTTGTACTTTCTAATTCAAACATTTCATCATGAAAACGAAAAGTTCAAATTTAGGTAAAAAAACACTGTGAAAAAAAAATTTGAATTTAAGTAGAACAATTGAATTTTAATTTTATTTTGAAAGAATTTTTTTTACTTCTTTAGGCCTTTGTTACCCCAGGGTACCCATCGGGTCTTCTCAATTTTTGTAGCAACTTAAATTATATAGTATTGGGAAAGGGTGTGTTAATAGAACCACTGAGCTATAGTGACAACCACTGAGCTATAGTGGAGTGATCCGGCCAGGGGGTCGGAGGGAGATAGATGAAAAAAAGCTTTTTAACAATTTGAGGCTGTAGATACAGTCCACGGTGGTTGGGGCTTCACGGCTTCGGATACTTCCACTCGGGCATAACAGTATCACAGTGTCATTCTAACTCTGTGATCCATACACTCCGCAAGGAGGCAGAGGGTTGCGGGGAGGGGTGGTGACCTTTTAGATAAAATGTTCAGGTTTCCTGATAATATTGGATACAGCAGGGGTAGATAGGAATCCACCTTTTCCAACTATAAGTTTAGACACCTTGTTAGCAGCAGACATCTAATAAATAAAAGTTTAGACAAATATGCATTAAATCTAAGTATGCAGGGCAGTATATGTTATGTCGGCTTTTAGTGTTAGTAAACTTATTTTAAAAATTGATTACAATAAATTATTTAAAAGGTTGGTAAAAATAATCTTAGTAAAAAAGCCTGGAAATAAGGAATGATTAAGAGTTAACATTTTGTATCGTAATTAATTTAATTTCAACCCTCCCTTACATTTGCCTTAATTAATATTTTAAACATGAAAAATGAACATTTTGTGCTGAATTTAGTAAACAAAATTAAACTCCTTACTTTAATAATAATATCTGTAGCTTCGGTCATGAAGAATCTTCCGTCTCCTCCTACAACTAGCGTAGATCCTTCAAGCCCGGATCCTTAATTTAAATATTTAACAACTTCTTTATTACTGGCAAGTTAGTGCAACTAACTTATCGATTACTAATCAAATACAACCCAATAACATTAACAAAGGAGTCATCTTTAAACTATCAAAAAAACTGTAAAAATCTTAATTGTTATTATTCGGATTAACCAACCAACCAACCAACCAACCAACCAACCAACCAACCAACCAACCAACCAACCAACCACCAACCAACCAACCAACCAACCAACCAACCAACCAACCAACCAACCAACCAACCAACCAACCAACCACCATCAATTCAACGAAGAAAAGAACCCACCAACCCAACCAACAACGAACTAAATCCAAGTGAAACTTACCCATAGCGGACAGAATGCTTTGAACAAAGTTCTCAGTATAATTCTTCTGCTGGAAAACCTTAATACAAAATTCAAATGAAAAAATTAATATTTGAAATCAGTTTGACATGAATCACGTATTCTAAGGGAGGGGGTGGGGGGTCAATTCGAAACATTTTTTACAACTAATTTTTCAGACTTCGTTTCTCGAGTTTGTTTTTGGATGCAGCCTCCATTTTACGGGTTTTAAGAAGAAAAAACGGGGTTCATTGACCTAAATTTTGACTTCTTAAACTTAAAAACTCTTGTTGACAGATTCTTAACCAACTTATTCGAATTTTAACTCCATTAGAGGTTTTATGGTTGCAATAACAAATAAATAAATACACATGTAGAAATTAAAGACATCGGTTCTCAAGGTGACCTTTTCACCTTGAGTAAGAAACTGACCTTGACAGTTTTCCTGAGCCCGCTGGTTCCAGGCTTCTGACCCTCAAACCTCGAAGTCGGGACAGGGACAACTACGCATTCTTGAACCATTCTATCTGAAGTACGCTGTACGCACGCTCTGAAAATATAAAAGTAAACAAAAAAAATGCATTCAGATGGACGACGGGTTAGCTGGCCTGAGTATTGATTTTGTATTCAAGATAACAGATAATTGTGTTTACTGTTTATTTCAGAAAACCATATATTGAATAACACCAGATTTGTAAATTTTAATGTTAACTTATAAATTTACAAAAAATCGTGAACGGACTAGTTTTCAGTCTGTTAGTAACTAACTCGTGTAAACATGGATACGCTGCCAAATATTTCAGGGGAGAATATTAACATTTCAAACTGAAACATTACAGGGGTAAATAATATTTTTTAGTTTCACATGAAAGCAAAAGACAATAAATATTCAAAAGCAGAAAAATTATTGGTTTAATCATTGGGTTTAATTGTGAAAATCAGAACAGTAAACAAAGTACATATACGTGACTATATGATAATTAACATGTCCTCCTAGACTTGTTTTCTACAAAATCACAGCTCATAATCCAAGCTCAATTTATGCCAAAAATGCTGTAAAACTATAAATCAAAAAGTGTTGTTGTTTAAAGAATGTCCAAGCAGCTAAGCAATCTAAGCAATCCGTTTGCCTAATCGTGTAAGTGAACGTCAATGTAAAGTAGCTTAGTTTTAATGTATTGTGTACATTTTTGAATATGGTTATGAGACTATTATTATTATGTNCCCCGACGAACGAGTTGTGTGTCCGATTCACAACAATACTATTTACACTATTGTCTGAGTAACAATGTAAAAGATATTGTTTACTTAAAACGTGTTGAATTCTGTCAATTTCCTCAATTCAATTATACTAGATAAAAACTTTAATATTAAAAGGAGGTCTTTCTTTATTAATAGGACTAGAATTAAACCCTGAATAAGAAAAATATGGAGCGTGAAGATTTGTACTCAACATTCTTCTTATTAATTAGAATGCGATAATCAAAATATCAATCAATTATAATATTAAAACATTACATTTCGCTCAATTGTTTTCCAGAATAGTTCATTGTGACCTCAACTCGTGATTATTTTTAGATTCTTCACTATTGTTCTCTGTTATCTACCGATAAATCTTTAAAGGAAATATTTTTTAATAATTTCATTTTGGAAAATTTAAACTTTTATTCTAAATAATATTCAAACTTAAAAATGTATTATATTTAATAAATATTTCCCTAAATTATTAAATCTCCGAGATAAAGCTGCATTAGCTGAAATTGCCTAGAAATATAACGAAATTAAAAAATTTATTAAAAATTTTAAAATTTAAAATATTTAAAAATGGAAATTAAATGATCTCCTACCTCAATTATTTCTTCTCCAGTCCAGACCCCAATAGAACCTTCTGGAAGAATGTCTCCTTTATCCTCTGTATCCTCTTTATTCTCTGTATCCTCTTTATTCTCTAAATTCTGTTCTTCTGTGTAGTCCTTCTTTTTTAGATCTGGATTCCTGAATGAATAAGGTTACTTAATTTTCGATTTGCGGATTTTTTGATTTTTTTTCACAGATTTTCGAAATTTTTTAACAAAACGAAAAGAAACAACATTTATTTTAAGGCTTTGAAAACTATGTACGTTTTTCTATGACTGATTAGTTTAAATCAGCCCTAAAACGAACAAACTATTCATGATGATAATTATTAATTGTGTGACTGAAATAAAGTATCAGAATGAAATATGCTTAGACAATACTAATTAGAAAAAAACAACAAATTTACGTTAAAATGCTGACAGGAAATATTTTAAAAAGATCAGCTTTAATTTTACAACATTATCAATTATTCAAATAAAATTGCTATAACCCGGTCCATAATAAGGTTGAAATAACAATCATTATTTGTCGTTAAAACCCCACCTTTTACTGAGTTAGACCCCTTTATCTAGCGTGCCTAAGATTAATTAAGATTTTTAATTTCAGTAAATTATTTTTTACCGTAACGGAGAACGTCAACCTAATTTTTGAAACAAGTGTGTCATTATAAGAAGAAGAAGAAGAGTGTTTAATGACAAAAAAGCTAATTAAATGCATTCCTAAATAAGACATGAATTAAGTCCGGTGTTTAAGTAATTTTCGGCTTTCACGGTATTCTTAAATTAACGAGTTCTGCTAAAGGGAGATTAAGTCCTAGTCTAAGCTTTAGGTATTTATAAATACATACTTGAGTTCTGATCGCTGCTCTTCAGTTAGAGATTTTAATTTTTCAAGAACCAGATGAGACACTAATCTTTTGGCAGTTTTTTTAGTTGTTCCCTCTCCGGTTTCTCGTATCCAACCTAAACACAGAGTACTCACTACTTAAGGTTAATGAAATGAGGTCGGTTTTCAGAATTTAGGATCAGTATTTAAAGTATAAGCTGAGTTTACAAGTTAAGTTTAGTTTTCCAAGTTAATAACGTATTCAAAGTTAAGTTCAGTGCCAAGTTACGAGATTCCAAACTCAATTTAACAATCCGAGTTTCACGAACATTAGCCTAGTTTCGTATTTCATAGTTAAGTTTTGTTTTTTTAAAGTAAAATTTGTCTAGTGATCTGATTTTAAGTCCAATGATTTACAACGTTATATTCTAATTTGAAGTTTTGAAGTGAATTATTCATTAAAGCAAGTGTGTTAACTAAAAATCATTAATGTTTTTTATGTTTGTAATTGACAAGTTTATTTGGCTTAGTCAGACAACCACATACACTTTTTTATATATATATAATGAAGCTCTTCCCTCATATATATATATATATATATATATATAATATATATATATATGTATGTATATATATATATATATATATAAATTGGCTGAAACTTTTTGAGGGAACCCATTGGTACCCCAGGGGTAACATAGGCTATAAAAAATTAGATTTTCTTCTTTAAAAATTTAAATCTTTTAATTTCTAAAAAGCGTTTTTTTCTTTTTTGATAACCCCACGCAGCAATATCGGTAACGGTTGATCCGATCTGATTTTACTGTTTTCTGACCTCAAACTGTTTTAGATTTTAAAATTGGTTGATACAAAGGCCAAAGGGGTTAGAAAGCATTCATAGGTTCGGATGTTGTTTTGAGGGATTCCTGGCGGTTGCACGTGATCTACTATCAAGTATTACCCAAGGATGCAACTATAGTAAAGCATCTACTATGATCTGGACCAACTGGAGCACCTTCTTCATACCAGGGTTGCAGTAAACCTACATCACAGTTAGGATTAAAAAGTGAATAAAGTACAATCTTTAAATCCCGCCGTTACAATTATTTTCCCTCTTCTCGTATAAGCAGTGCTTAGAATCCGGAACCAAGGGGTAAAATATCAACCAAAAACTGCAAAAAAAAATCCTTTTTACTCTAAAACCCCAAATCTGAACTTTTGAAGAAAAAAAAAATTATAAAAATTTCCTCATTTCTGAATGGTTCATCAAGTTTTAGGATAAAAATAAGCAAAAAAAATTAAACCAAAAACTTGAAAATTTTGTTTTGTTAAAAAATTTCAGTAAATCTTAAAGAAGTGACCTGGATCCATTTTTTTCCAGTCCGGATCCGGATCCGCATCAAAATTTAATGGATCCTAAGCACTGCGTATAAGAATATCAAATTCAGTAAGCGATCAGAGGAGGTTGAAACTTTTGTGTTAGATAGCGCTTATCTGCAAAGTTTGATCTTGATATTCATTGTGACAACTATTAAACACAATAGTGCTTGTTCTCTTAATTATAGTTTACGCTGCTGGATTCTGACCGCGTGATATGATGATATCCAAAAGTAAAAAAAAATGTAAATCTTCGGACTCAAAAGATACTGATAACTGCTTGATCATGGGATAAAAACACTTAAGTTATGACTCCAGATTACTTTCCGGTGCGACTTACAGTGCTATTCTAATGTCAGATATTTTTCCGTCAGAAAAAAAATAAAATTTTTTTTGCTGATCTGAACCCTTAGTTCTAGGCTAGATAGTAGATATTTACCATTAACAGAGCAGTATTCTTGAAGTTCTCCAACTTTGTTCCCTGAATTCAAAATATAATTTTATAACTCATCAAAATAAAAATGAAAAGTTGAAGTCCCATTTTCAATGAAAATTGTTCATACCCCTCCCCTGAAAACATTCTCATAAAAAATCAGTGCTTAGAACCCTTTTTAATTTTGATGTAGTTTTAGAGACGAATCAGTTCTGTGAAAACAAGAGCTGGATCCGATATATGAAAACGGAACCAAGAAGAAATACGGTAGTTTTAAGGATTTCACATTAGTCAATCATTGTCATTCCTATCTTAACAATTTTAAAAAATATTTTGGTTTACATTATCCTTCTTGGATCTCAGTGGATCAGCATACTTTTGATGATCTGGATCCAAGGAGCTAAAATATCGCGGATTCGGATCCTAAGAACTGAAAAAACTGTTATACAGTGAGAACCAGATAACTGTGAAATAGATGAAAACTTTAAATCTTAAGTTAATATTTCACTTATTAAGGGATTTTTAAGCTACACAAAACTATTTATTTTGTATCACTATCAAATACACTTAAAATTGCTAAAATGTCGTCTTTATAAACCATAGTTTTTTGTTCTTACATAATAATTGCTCTAGATGGTAAAATATAAACAATGAAAAGAAAACGGCAATATATATCGTTGTTCGGAAAAGTTAGTCCCCTGACGATTTCAAAGAACACATGAACAGCAATTGAAGATAAATTATATAAAGTATTCCTGTAGAATTGGATTCAGGTACTGATAATACTTCAGGTACAGGTGCTCCATCCAGTAATCTAGACAGATAGACAGATATATATTAAAACATAGATAGATGGATATATGACAGATAGATAGATAAGTATATTAAAGCACAGATAGACAGAAAGATAGATATATAAGTATATTAGAGCATAGATAGACAGATAGATAGATAGATAGATAAGTACATCAAAGCATAGATAGATGGATATATGACAGATAGACAGATAGAAAAGTATATTAAAGCAGAGATAGATGGATATACGACGGATATAAAGGTATGATATTAAAGCTGATACTGATCTGTCATTGAATGATTTATAAATATATAGTTATATTTATTGATACCAGGGGTGTATTTATATTGAGAATCAATTTTTTACTCCCCCCCGTCCTTCCCACCCCTTTTAAGATTCATATTTTCCCCCCAGTATTATGATAAAAAAACATTTTAAATATATAGATATGAAAAGTATTATTAGAATTATTAGAATTACACATACCCCAAAAGTTTAGCAGCTGCTAGAGATTTAGCTTGCTTCTTTGATGCTCCTGATCCCAGCAAAGTTCAAAATTAATGAATAATCCCGACTTGATTATGTCCCGTAAATTCAAAATTCAAAAAATTAACAAATCCCCCCCCCCCATCCGAAATTAATACAAATGCAAATTTTTTATAAAAAGTTTTATTGATGAATTAAGGAAATCTAAATGATTTAAATGATCTTGAGGTAAAAAGTACCAAAAAAAGAGTTAATGTACCATTTTTCATTTCCCCCTCATTTTTCAATTGGTCTTAGCGCCAAAAAACGAGTCTTCTCCCCGATGACGTCAGACAAGGGACACAATGGAAGGACGTTTGGGTCTTCTCCCATATCTTAATTCGATTCTGACTATTTCCTTCTGCTGTAGCCGTGAGTCCCTGAAACCTGGCTTCTATCTTGAAGGTTGGACCATGTGCTTCTCCTGAGGAATCCTGGAAACATAAACAATATTGTAAGTCAGTTTTAAGTAAAAGAATGACATCAACCATTCACAACGCTTTCACTTTCTTTTTTAGTCCAAAATATTACATTTTTACGCAGCGGCAGGACAATAAAACAACGTAAAAAATACTTGTGGAAGTGGGAGAAAGGAGGTTTAATTGAAGGGAAAGGAAAAATGAAAGGGGATATAGGCTGAAAACTGAGAATCTCAGGCGTTGAATGATACATATAAGACTTCTATCTGGTGTTCCTGTCTCGAGTCCCTTTAATATACATTTAATCAGAAGGGATGAAAGGACTTCTAAGTGTATTTTTATTAATCCGTGTATCAATGCATTTTTTGTTTAAAGAGACAAAGACATAATTTTATTGATTGAGTGACATGTCCGATTTACGACGGTATCCTTCGAAACTTTTACTAATCAAGGATGATTAAACCATCATTATTTGTTAATTTGAAAATTTTATTATTTTTAATTTTTTTTCTATAAGAAGGGAAATTATATAATTCAACACTTTTAGGTAGAAAATATCTAGCTTCCACATTGTGTCACAGTTAGAAGTTTCAAGAGTACTGTTGGAAATAGTACATGCCACTCTATGAAAGCAGGGACAATTCAAATCATGTCCACAGCCCCTTTAATATCCTACCACGAGATGGTATACAGGGGGTCCCC